ATGGGTGTCCCCATGGAGATGGCCAGGCCATTGTGATGGGGTTTGCATGGTCACCATCAAGGTATAATAATGTGGGTCCATCCCCATGGCGACCACCAGGGCTTTGTGATGACAGTGGCATCGTGCCCACAAGGCCATTGTGAGGGAGCCATCCCCATGGTGACCATGGCCTTGTTGGGGGCACAGACCCCAGAGTCCCCACTCCGAGGAAAGCAGTTCCACGAGGAGCCGGTGGCTGCCCTTGGTGCCGGTGTCAGGTGCCCACGAGAGGATCCTGCAGGCAGACAAGGAGCGGCCGGCGACGCTTGCTCCCAGTGCGCAGACGGGCTCTCAGGCTGGCAGTAGAGCGGGAGCGAGGTGAGCGCTGGGGCTGAAGGGAGAGGCGGCAGCAGGGCTGGGAGCAGCATGGAGAGCACCAGGATGGGCAGCAAGGGCAGCTGTGCTGACATGGGCAGGCAGGAGCTCTTGCCGGGAGGGCTCCTTTATTGCTGGCCCTGGGCATCAGCTCCCACAAAACAACCAATGTGGGTCCTGCCGGGGCCACGCGCATGCTGGCAGCTCTGTGCTGAGCACGAGCAGGGCAGGCCCCAAACAGTCTCAACCTCATCCGTTGTGTGATTCTGTGAGCTGGCAGGCAAGGAAGCCGGGACCCCAGGGACACTGGCCCGTGATGTGCCCCATGGTGCTGTGAGCTCAGCTCCTGCGTGTGCTCCATGCTCGAGTCCTCTGGGGGCTCAGGAGCTCCCGACCATGGGCTTGTTGGGGGCAAAGACTCCAGGATCGACAGGGAGACGAGTAGGTTGTGATGAAGCTCTGGAAGCAACTTCGCCCGCTCTGCATGTTTGGTCAGACATTGTCTGTCTTGGTGGATGTTTGATGTTACTGATTGTTTTAACTGTGTGTTTTATGGTAAGGTGTATTGTGTGAGCGTGTGTCATGGTGGGTGTTGCTGTGTCCCAGCGTATAGTGTTGGTATGTGTAGTGTGTTTTGTATGTTTTGCAGGGTCATGCTTGTGAGTATTAATTGTGTAATGGGCATGTTTTGTAGCTTTTATGTAGTTGTTTTCTGTGAGAGACTTCAAATGTTTTGTGAGACTGTCTTTGCTGTCGTGTGTGTGTGTATTTTGTTGTTTGCTGTGTGTGTAATAATATCTGTTTTCTTTTCTTTTGTTTTTGCTTTTCTTAAGTCTTTTTTTTTTTTTTTTTTTTTTTTTTTTTTTTTTTTTTTTTTTTTTTTTTTTTTTTTTTTTTTTTTTTTTTTTTTTTTTTTTTTTTTTTTTTTTTTTTTTTTTTTTTTGGTGGTTGTGCAGAATATGCTGTAGATATTTAGGTTGTGTGGAGTTTGCATTTTACATCTTGATGTTTCAGTCTTCATGTTTTCTAGTCACCTTCTGGAGCTTGGGAGCTTCTGAGCTCAGGCTGCAGGGGCATTCGCCTCCTTCCTGTGCACACCACAGACCCGCAGCACATGGGAGTCCTCTTGCCTAAGTGCAGGGGAGTGCAGAACATGTCCATCTGGTTGGCAAATACAGCAGGAAAGCCTGAAAAAGCGCAGCGTGTGTGAGGCCTGGAGAGTGCAGAGCTGGAGGGAGGAAAATTCATCCTGCTCCCCAGACAGCAGCTCCCAAGCTGGCTCATAAACTGGGACCAGAGCTTGGAGGGAAAGGATGTGGGGAGGAGTGTCCTCACGGAGATGGCTGGCCAGGACAATGTGATAGGGTCTACCTGATCACCATCAGGGCATCATGATGGGGATCCCTGCCCATGGTGAACGCCAGGACTTTGTGGTGGCAGTGGCATTGTGCCCACAAGGCCATTGTGAGGAAGCGATCTCCATAGTGACCATAGTGACCATGGCCTTGTTGGGGGCAAAGACTGCAGGGTCGACAGAGAGACCAGCAGGTTGCGAGGAAGCTCTGTAAGCAACTTCACCCGCTCTGCATGTTTCCAGCACCAGGAGCAGCTTTGCTGACCCAGCAGACCACCAGGCAGGAGAAAGGGGAGAGCCACGGGGTGCCAGGGACCCAAGCTCCATAGGTGCACATGAGGGGCCCCAGGGTGTTTGTCCTTGAGGCATTCTGTGAGCTCATGGCTTTCCTGGAGCTCCTGTGCTGTATCTGCCAGCAAAATGTGCATGTGCAGGGCACACGAGGAATGTATCACAGCACAAGAAACCTTGATTATGCCACTGCAATGAAACAGCACATTTAACTTAAATGCCTACCATGCAGGGCAGTGTACATGTCACTTTGCTGGGACTGCTGCTCTAGTCTACCCTGTGGTTGGACCAGAAGAGAGAGCTGTCCCTCCTCATGGTGGCATCCTCCATCTGTTCAGCTACATGGACCTGTAGGCTCCGTAGATATATCTGACCAACATGGTCTCAGAGGCTCTCCATGCACATGTGTGGTTCCATTTCTGGTGGCCAAGACATCCTCCTTACCCCCGTGGCCACCAGATGATGCTCGGGAAGGATGGGCATCTCTGGGCCTTTTTCAAGAGAACTTGCAGTCCCTTGCATGTGCCTTGGATCCCACCAGGAACCTCAGGTATAACGTGTTATCATCCATGCAGCTGACTCCAAATCTCTATCTCTAGTGATGAGACACAAGGCCTTAAACAAGGGGCATGCAGGCAGATAGCTCTTCTGTGCTCACCTTGATGTAGCCAAAATGAATCCCACGTCCTCTGGGTCTGTGGTGTGCACAGGAGCGAGATAAAGGCCCCTGCAGCCTGAGAGCTCCTGCAGTGTCATGGTCCTGTCCTGCCCATTCCCCATTCCCGCCCTGGCCCAGCTCTGCTGCCACTCACTGTACTGGACCCACACTCTGAATATTGTCTTGGATTCAAGGTCAGAAGTTTTCTCTCCAAGACCCCTTCACACCCAGTTCCACTAACCTCTCCTCTCAACTATCTCTCCTTTCATTCTCTTGTCTGTTCCCACAGTTCCCTCCACTCTTCTCCCCATAGTACCTCGATCTCACGGTGCTGCTTCCCAGAGCAAGCAGGTGGTTGGGCACACAGGGAGCAGGAGGTGTCTCCACCGTTGCTGTTCTGCTCAGGGTGGGACACAAACCCCACCAAATGGCTTTTCTGAGCTTGATTCTCATTGAGAATGTGCGGCTGTTTCAGGTGCTGGGAGGAACTATGGCCATTTCTGAGGGCACCAGTTGTGTCCAGCAGCACTTCTAGATCCTGCCCCTGCTATTTCTGAGAGTGTGACTCTCCAGCCTCCCTCCCTCATGCTCTCTGTGTCCTCCCTGCTGCTCCTGATATTGCAGAGCTCTGCCTTGCCCCCAAATACCTGTATTTTAAGGTCTACCTTTAGGTGCCTCCACCTTGGGAGACCTCTCCCCTTTGGAGGCTCCGATCTCTGCTCTCCTGACATCTGCAGCCTCCCCTGCAGAAAGACATGAATCTGACATGGTGCTTTAACATGTGGCAGAGCCCTGACCATATAGATGCAGGAGCACTCAACCTCTACACTATGCCTGGACACACTGATAAATGATTCCCAAATCCCCTCTGTGACCTCTAAAGGGATTGTTACAAGATGATGAGCTTTTTGAACTTGAACCTCTGGAAAATGCTGCTCAGCAGGCCCTTACATTGTGCTCCTTCTTCGTCATATTATTGAGACCAGATTTGGAAGAATTGCAGCCTTAACACAGTGTCCTTTATTAGAATAGATTTTATTACAGAGGAGAGAGTGAGGGAGTCAGTCTTGATCCGGCATTAGAAACAGTTTAATGGACCAGGTGAAAGAGAACAATCTGAGAAAAAGTACCGTGCATCCAAGTATTTGTGAAATAATATTATATTTATTATTATTACTAATAAAAGTCACTGTGAAGAATATATGAAGAAATATGAAATATGAATGTATGAAGAAATACCATGAAGAAACAGTGCTCAATCCAGCTGGGATACAGAAGGAGTATGTGTGGAGAGAAATGGCGATTTTACTAGTGCTGAAAAATGTCCATGAAATCCCTTTCCTCAGGCCATCCTTCAGCTCATTATTTTTCATGCTGTAGATGAGGGGACTCAGTGCTGGAGGCATCACCRAGTACAGACCAACTCCAGATCCAGAGCTGGGCAGGAGACRGAAGGGGGCCTTCAGGTGGGCAAAAAATGCAGTGCAGACAAACCGGGAGATCATGGCCAGGTGCTGATTGTGCATGATGCTCTGAGTCATCACAAGGCGTTTCAAATGGCTCACACTACGTGCAGGTGTATCCCTAGATCCACACCAGATTTGGTGTTTGAGGTGTCAGGAACTGCTTCTGCACCTCCCTTCCCTGTGCCTGCAAGGTCCYGCTGAGGCAYCTRCYACCAGCCCCACTTGTGGCAGGAATGCATGACCAGGCAGATAGTGCACAACCATTCACCACTATCAGGACACTGAGCGGCCACAAGGGAGAGCTGAACCCAGCTCTCGTTCCTTAACATATCACGCCAGGAGCTCATTGCCTTGAGCTCATGGTGACCCTCAGATAAGCAACAAGTGCCTTTCTGGCCGAGAGTCATTGAGCAAATTCTTGACTCCAACTTTGGAAGAAGCAGTGCTTCTTCCAGCTTCTTGCAGCTCCGAAGCTCTAAGATCTGCACTGGGGAAATGACCTTTTATGAGAGGTAGAACAGCTCTGAAACACTGAGAGACACATTTATGGAAGGCCTGGGGGTCGGAGAAATTGGATTTATGCCTGAAAAGCAGTCAGACAGATCTGCACAAGTATTATTATCACAGAGAGAATTTCAAAGCACAAAACGTGTCCAACTTAACTTAGAAAGGACTTGGAAAGAGAGAGAGGCACCTCATGGCTTCAAGAGCTTGCACCAATTCTTACTGATTGAACAAGTGGAAGTAGCCTCAAGTTGCACCARTGCAGGTTCAGGTTAGATATTAGGAAAAAAAGACGTCGGGCATTGTATTGAAAGGCTTATGGTTGCACTCAAACATCCTGAAGGTCTTTTCCAACCATAAAGACTCAATGATTCTATTCTGTGAATTGGAGGAGGTTCTTCACTGCCTCCTTGAGCTCGCTGTTCCTCATGCTGTAGATGAGGGGATTCACTGCTGGAGGCACCACTGCGTATAGAATGGCCAGTGAGAGATCCAGAGCTGGGGAGGAGATGGAGGGAGGCTTCAGGTAGGCAAATACTGCAGTACTGATAAAGAGGGAGACCACAGTCAGGTGTGGGAGGCACATGGAAAAGGCTTTGTGGTGACTCTGCTCAGAGGGGATCCTCAGCACAGCTCGGAAGATCTGCACATAGGAAACCACAATGAAAATGAAACATCCAAAAGCTAAAAAATTGCTAACCACAAGAAACCCAAGTTCCCTAAGGTAGGAGTGTGAGCAGGAGAGCTTGAAGATCTGGGGAAGTTCACAGAAGAACTGCTCCACATCATTGCCTTGGCAGACGGGGAATGAAAATATGTTCCCAGTGTGCAGGAGAGCATTGAGAAAACTGCTGCCCCAGGCAGCTGCCACCATTCGGGCACAAGCTCTGGTGTCCATGAGTGTGCCATAGTGCAGGTGTTTGCAGATGACAACGTAGCGGTCATAGGCCATGACAGTTAGAAGACAATACTCAGCTGCAACGAAAAAGAGGAAGAGGTGGACCTGTAAGACACATCCCAAGGAAGATATTGTCCTGGTATTCCAGAAGGAATTGGCCATGGATTTGGGGACAGTGGTGGAGATGGAGCCCAAGTCAAGGAGGGAGAGGTTGAGGAGGAAGAAGTACATGGGGGTGTGGAGGTGGTGGTCGCAGGCTATGGCTGTGATGATGAGGCCGTTGGCCAGCAGGGCAGCCAGGTAGATGGCCAGGAAAAGGGAAAAGTGTAAGAGCTGCAGGTCCCGCATATCTGCAAATGCCAAGAGGAGAAATTCATTGAAGGAGCTGCTGTTGGACATTTTTCTGTCTCCAGCCTTTGTGGATGGTTCAAAGAAGAAAATTTATTGACAAGTTACGAGAGTTTATTTCTAGTTAAAAAGCCAACACAGCCAATGTGCTATAGCATATAGCACAAATAGCCAATACACCTCCCGCATTGCATCTCTTTACTGAGAGTACCTTTGTGCAGCTCCTTGATTGAACTCTAGTTTGAGGTGACTGAGTGTAATGTGAGGATCAAGCACACCTTCAGGGATGTCTGTCCTGCTGTGCAGTAGTGGGAAGGGGACAACAGGGCTTATGAGCTCTGAGATGCACAATCATACAATCATAGAATCATGGAATCATAGACTGCTTAAGGTTGGAAGGGACCTCAGAGGTCATCTAGTCCAATGGTTTGGCACCATTGCCTGGGCACGTCCAGGAGCAGCCGGGGAGCAGCACGAATGCTCCTCAGGAGAGTCAGAAAAGCCCCTGCAATGTCTGTGCCAGCTTCTGCCCCGGGAAGGACTACACGGAGCCACGAAGGGCTGCGAGGGCTTCCCTTGGCCCTGGGCAAGGCGAGGGCAGCTGGGGCTGCAGGGCGGCCCTGGGGAGGATATGTACAGGATATATTGCTGTAAGTGTTCCTAAAGTGTTGTGTTCCATTCATTTAGTGTTCTGTGATCATGACCCTGCCTCCACACACACATCTCCTGTTCCCCTTTTTTATTCCCCATGCTGCATGCGTGTGCATAGAGGCATTAGAGTTGGGCTCTGAATGTGCCTCTCTTTCAAACGGGATTGGCTGTTCCTGGCCTGTGTGGGACTGCAAGGACCTCTGGGGAAAGGGACCCCTGTGACGCGGTGCCAGAGTGTGTCCCAGCCCCGCGGGGCCCTGTGTCCCCCAGGCAATCGTGGAGCAGGGCCCTGCATCTGCAGGCCCCGTGTCCCTGGGGCGCCAGAGCTTCCCTTGGCCTGTGCCTTGGGCCCTGCGCGCACACGTTGGCTGCGGCCCCCTGAGAGCTCGAGAGCTGCCCCGCGCCGGGGCTGGGGCTTCTTCCCCTTGGGGCAGCCCCAGGGCCACATGTCAAAGCAAGTCCCAGAGGGACCTCTGTGCTGGCCCTGGCCTGCCCCTGGGCTCTGAAATCCTGGTGCTCCCCACACACCTGCCGTGGGGATGATTTTGTGTCTGTGCTTGCTGGGAAACAACACGCAACACTTCAGCAATGATACAGGAAGATATATTTAAACAACAACAAGAAGAATGTAACAAACAATCACAAAAAGAATAACAACAACAACAACAACAACTACGTTAACATGAAAGTATATATATATATATATTATCAACAAAACAAGAGTAAACCATGATACAGGAGTATATATTTAAACCAAAAAAAAAAAAAAAAGCAATAACAACAGCAATAAACATAAAAATATAACATAAACTATATCTATAAGAAAAATACTATTAACAAGAACAACTATAAAAACAAATACTACCATAACAATCTATATACAAAATATACAAAGCAAGTCTTTACTTTACTTTACAATATACAAAGCCTTGCATGGCCCGGCGCTTCCTGGCAGCAGCCAGGGCGAAGGTGATCTTGGCCTGCAAGGGAAAAGGAGGCGTTAGCAGGACGAGGAGCAGCTCAGGGGCTGGGGAAAAGAAGGGACAAGCGTGTGCAGAGGCTGCGAGGGCTGTACCTGGCTGCTGTAGCTGGACCACTCCATAGGCTCCGGGTCGCTCAGGGCTGCTCCCCTGTACGAGCTCGGAGCCAGCAGGAGAGAAGGAGTTGTTTGCAGGACAGATCCCTGAGCCCAAAGACTTTGGAGGCAGGGACCCTCCACCTGCAGTGGGAAACAGGAAAAGGGCTGCCAGCAGGGGCAATACCTTGGAGAAAGAGAAGGAGCTCTCCCAATCCATTGCCTCCTCCTGATCGTTGCAGCCAGCTACCGTCTGGGCTCCTGGAGCCTGGCAGAGAGCAGCAGAGCTTGTGGGACTGGTGGCGGCGGCAGCGCTGGCTCTGTGCACGGGGCCTCGTGTCCCCTGCGTGCGCGGGGCAGGCGGTGCCCAGAGGCAGGGCGCCAGGCTGAGGCAGCAGCCCCCGAGTCCTTGGCCGCTCCTGCCCCTGAAGCAGCTCTGCCCCAGCAGCCAGGCCTGCGAGAGCTCCCTGGCACCTCTGGCACCAGCCCTGCGGCTGCTCTCGCACAGCCAAGCTCCGGCCGTCCCCCCGCGCAGCCCCGCGCAGCCCCTGCCTGCGCGCACACTACCTGTCCGCTGCAACAGGAGCTCTCCCACTCCATGTCCTCAACTGCAGAGTTATCCATTACTGGATATACAGAGCCTGCAAGAGAAAAGGAGGCATTGGATTTTGCGCCCCTAAAAACTGAGGTGTCTGTCCCAAGAGCCAACAGCAGCCTCCTTCCCACCCGGAGTCCCTTTGGCATGTGGGGAGCCTTGTGCCAAGCAAAGGAGAGCAAAGGGCCCTGTGAGTGGTGTGAGCGCCAAGTGGCACCCGGGGGGTTTGGGGCCTCCCCTGGGAGGCATCGCGCAGGCTGCCCTGGAGCCCCGCAGCTCCCCTGCCTCTTGTGGGCACCAGCGGTGGCCCCTGGTGCTGCGCAGCCCTGCTATTCACCTGCCCCGGCTGCTCCTTYGGCAGCCGTGGAGCCACTGTGACACGGAGCCTTGGGAAGTATCCGTGTTCCCGTGGCAATAACAGCCCCTCTGGAATGTTCCAACAGGATGTGAGGGGAAGAGCCCTGTACCAGGGACCGGGGGGCATTGTGAGGAAGGTGGTTCGTTTGCGGACTCCCCTTTTGCACCATGAACCTGGTGGCAGAGACCAATGCCTGGCCTTGTACAATGCAGCACTCCTAGTGATACAGTCTAACATATCCTTGATACTGTATCACTGCTAGGGAATACGTCTGATTGATAAGCAACGCGCTGGAGTCTCTCCATTAGTTCCGTGTCTCTCCAAGCCGGAGCCCAGCAGCTCTTCCTATCCCCACCAAGCAATGTCCCATAATCCAGAAGGGCCATGTGTGGGTGAAGTCCTCCCTTGATGGACCCAGCGAGTCATCCCACACACCCGTCCCATCCTGGATGGGCACTTGCCTTCAGGAGCTCCATGGACGTGCTGGAGAGCAGCCCTGCAGAGAGGGACCTCAGCATCATGGTGGATGACAAGATGACCATGAGGCAGCAGTATGCCCTGGTGGCCAAGAAGGCCAACGGGATTCTGGGGTGCATTAAGAAGAGCATCTCCAGCAGGGCGAGGGAGGTGATCGTCCCCCTATACACAGCTCTGGTGAGGCCACATCTGGAGTACTGTGTCCAGTTCTGGGCTGCCCAGTACAAGAGGGATGTGGAGCTGCTGGAGAGAGTCCAGCGCAGGGCTACCAGGATGATCAGGGGCCTGGAACATCTGCCATATGAGCAAAGGCTGAGAGAGCTGGGCCTGTTCAGTCTGGAGAAGAGAAGGCTGAGGGGCGACCTGATCAGTGTCTATAGATACCTCAAGGGAGGCAGTGAGGAGGAGGGGACTGGCGTCTTTTCAGTGGTGGACAGCGACAGGACTAGATGAAACGGCCACAAGCTGAGGCACCAGAAGTTCTACAGGAACTTAAGGAAATATTTAAATAACAGTGAGGGTGCCAGAGCCCTGGCACAGGCTGCCCAGAGAGGTTGTGGAGTCTCCTTCTCTGGAGATGTTTCAAACCCGCTTGGATGCAGCCCTGGGCCACGTGCTCTAGGTGACCCTGTGTGAGCAGGGCTAGATGACCTCTGAGGTCCTTTCCAACCTTAAGCATTCTATGATTCTGTGAGTTCTCACCCCGTCGAGGTGGTGTTACCTAAGTGAAGCAGGACAAGGCAATGGGCAGCTTTTTGCCAGACCTGGCCTCCAGAATAACATGTCTCTAAATAAAAAGTATCTCCTCAGTGAAATACCTCCAGTTTGGCCTTTCTTCTGAAGTTGGGCTCAACAACACACCAACACGCCCAAGGGACTGCAGCATGAAAGGGCCGGCTGCTCTACCTGGGCCCTCTGTGGCTCCAGGGGAGGAGCTCAGAGTCCCAGCGGGATCTTTCAGGGAGCACGGGCTGCATTTGGGGTTCATGTCCCTGGGAGCACTGCCAGTGGAGATGCAGAACGGTCCCTGAATTGCACCCTTGGGGCTGTGGCACAGGTGCCAGGGTTGACGAGAGATGCCCACCCTTGTGGAAGGGAGCCCCAAACGCCGTCCGGAGCCACCAGCGCCAGCGTTGGGGAGCCGCGACGGCTGGGAGGCCGGCGATGCCTGCGGGGGGAAGCAGAGCTGTGGCCGATGGGCCACACGGGCACCGGGCTGCACCTGCCTGTCCCTGGCACCAAGGGCTCCCAAAGGGCTGTGGCCTCAGCATGGAGCCCCCGAGCTCTTTGTGCTGCCGGCCTCGGTGCTGCTCGCTGTCCCAGGCAGCCCTCACACTCCACTCGGCTACGTACCTGGCTCCAAGTCTGGTGTGGGGCTGCAGGAGGACGATGCCTCCTCCTCCTCTTGGGGCTCCAAGGCCTCCTGCATGGGCAGAGCAAGAACACGCACCTGTCGGCCATCAGCTGCTGCCGCTCAGGGTACCGGTGCCCTGGGGTGCCTGGGGGAGAGGGCTTGTGCTTGGGGAGGCTGTCAGCTGCTGCGTGTCCCACGGGAAGGGCCCTGTGGCTGGCAGGGCAATGGGACAGGGCTGGTTGTGGGGCCGGAGCAGCAGGGCTGGGCTGGGGCCGGGACGCCCAGGGGGATGGAGGCAGCCGGGTGTGGGGCACAAGGGGGCTCGTGCACTGGCTGCGGAGGGGGCTGCTGCTGGGGCTGCCCCTTCCCTCCT